TTACTTTGTGAAATAATTTCTTTTCAAATAATGTCAATCTTAATTAAGTTTTGCATTAATTTTAAATTTAATTATGTTTTTTCAGTCACACACATCTGTTGGGAAAAACAACAATACCTACGCGCAGCAACCACACACAAAATAACAAGCTCAAATCAAGAATAAGAACACACAAATATATTTGGTTTGGCCCAACTCAAAATGGCCTACTCCAAACACAATCCACTAATAAATAAATCTTTACAACTGTGAGACTTTTAGAATGAGAAAAATCTCCTAAAACTCCTTACTCAAAACTTAACCCAAAACCCAATTACACCCTTTAATAGCCTACTCACTTAGCTATTCTCTTGGTGTCTAACTCTCTGGGGTTACTAAACTAAAACCAAAACATCTTATTTATAAGGGTGAAACCCTTTATACCTTTACCAAACTCCCGATGTGGGATACAAGACAAATTCAAACTTACTTAACTGGGATTTTGAGATTCAAGGCAAATCCCAACAAATCCTCCCTTGACTTGAATCTCCAAACACTTCAACAGTATCTGCAAAGCTAACATGCTTACCTTTCTTCTTTTCTTTCATCACAGGCATTCCAGCAACTGAGTTTCCATCAAACATGTACAAGTGATTGACCATATTCCCTTGTAAAATCACACTATCATTCTTATACACTTTCAACCAATCATTACTACCATAAAATGTGTATCCCCGAGAAGATAACTCACCTAAAGCAATCAAATTGTAGTGACAATTTGGTACATACCTTACATGACGAAGTGTCCTAATAACACCATTGTGAGATCTAAGGCGAACACTCCCAATGCCTTGAATCTGCACCTTTTCTTTGTTAGCAATCACAATATCCCCATACTTTTCATTCTCATTCAACTCCACAAAGCAGCTCCTATCATTGCAAACATGAACTGTAGCAGCTGAATCTAAAACCCAACCTTTGTCACTTTTCAAAGTCTGGGTCTCATCCACACAAGTTGTCAAAACAACATCATCATCATCAGACAAAATAGCAGCAGTATCACTCTTTTCTTCATCTGATTTCTTCTCATCATTCGCCCTTTTGAAAGCAGCCATATCCCTTCTCAGCTTCCTGCAGCGCACTTGGATATGTCCTTTCTCATCACAATAATAACATTCTACATCACTGTAATCTCTGTCTCTTGACTTAGATCTCCATCTCGATCAATCAATCCTCTTTTGAGTCCTCCTTCGATCAAAACCCTCTACAGCTAGTGTACTCCCCCCAGGTGATGAGTTCTGAGCTCCCATAAACCTTTCATTCTCACGCAACAGGGCAGTCACATCATCCAACTTCAAAGTAGACCTACCTACCAACACAGTCTGAACTAAAGGCCTATAAGACTTGGGCAAAGATGACAACAAAATTAAAGCTTTCTCTTCATCTTTTAACTCATCAACAGAAATCGCTAGCAATTGAGAAACCAATTTATTAAATTCATTCAGGTGATTATGAAGACTCATACCTTCTTCCATCTTCAGAGAATACAGATCCATCTTCAAACATAATCTATTAGTCAACGACTTCGAAGCATAAATACCTTCAAGCTTATCCCACAAACTCTTCGGAGTACTCTCAGTCAACACACTGTACTTTACTTCTGAAGCTAACGCCAATCTAATAGTACTAACAGCCTTCTTCTGAATCCTATTCCAATTAGCATCAGACATTCCTTCAGGCTTACTACTCTCCAATGCCTGATCCAATCCTTGTTGTACTAACAGATCTTGAATCGTACTTTGCCATAACATAAAATTACTCTTTCAATCAAATAACGGAATCTCAAACTTAGGCATAGACATACCAGACATACCTTCTTCAGACATCTTCAAACACTGCTTCACGATGTCTTGAACCCACGAACCTTAAACCTCGAACCTCGCTCTGATACCACTTGTTGGGAAAAACAACACCCATGCGCAGCAACCACACACAAAATAACAAGCTCAAATCAAGAATAAGAACACACAAATATATTTGGTTTGGCCCAACTCAAAATGGCCTACTCCAAACACAATCCACTAATAAATAAATCTTTACAACTGTGAGACTTTTAGAATGAGAAAAATCTCCTAAAACTCCTTACTCAAAACTTAACCCAAAACCCAATTACACCCTTTAATAGCCTACTCACTTAGCTATTCTCTTGGTGTCTAACTCTCTGGGGTTACTAAACTAAAACCAAAACATCTTATTTATAAGGGTGAAACCCTTTATACCTTTACCAAACTCCCGATGTGGGATACAAGACAAATTCAAACTTACTTAACTGGGATTTTGAGATTCAAGGCAAATCCCAACAACATCAACTAAGTCACAGTAAATATGATTGAGTTACAATATTCATAGATATACATGTCCATGCTACGTTTTCTTTTTATTTAAAATTATTAAAAATTGAATCATAATTATTAGAATTAAAAATATAAAATTTTATCAATAAATCACATACTGTTGATATGAACATTACATTTTAACTGATCCTATATTTGAATTCATAAACAAATATCCCACCTAATTATTTCTTTTTTAAAAATTTCAGTTTTTTTTTTCCAAAGAAAGGAATTTCAAAATTTCAGTTTAATTTAACTTTGCTTCTCGTTTTAAAACATTTCAATAATTTTTTTTGACTTGATTCTTTCAATTTTGTACATGTGTTCTTTTACTGTTTTTTATTGAAATCTTTTTTGTGGTTCAAACAAGAGTTTGGCTTCACAACATGTACATGAACTCAAACAAAACTGAAAACTTCCAAAAGTGGAAGACAAGATTTCTTTTTATAGAAAAAAAAAAAGACTTGCCAAACTTGACGTTTTGAGTAAGAAAATGCTTTCACTTACATGAATGATGAACCAAATGCTCAAAACATTGTCTAACATTGACCTTCCATTCGAATTTGAGACTATTTTTGTTTTTGGATATTGGCAAATTATCAATTGTCTAAACTGAACCTCTTTTCTTTAAAAGTTTGCTGAAAATTTCGTTTCACTCCCATAGTTTCAAAAGTAGCAATTTTATCCTCAAACCTCTTTACTCAATCTAGCAGCGGATAAATTTTCTCATTAATAAAATTAATACATAAGATGACGCGTACTTTTTTGTTTTAAAAAGAGATCAAAATCTAAAAAAAAAATTAGAGAAAAGGAATTTACAAATGCTGATAATCGAATCTTAATCTTATTGAAATCCATTTCTTAAAAAAGATGGATGAATCATTTACACTAAACCTCAAGTTCTAAAGTGACATGAACTTACCAGTCTGATAGATCTAGAGAAAGCACGGCAGCATATTGTTTCATTCCGCTTTGATGGTTTCGAACTTTTTTTTTTTTCTTAAAGAAAATAGCAAATAGCAAATAATAAACTTTAAGGGACAACTTTAATTTACATATAAATTAATTTGGTAAATTATAATAGAATAAGAGCCAACTTTACCATTTATTTCATCGGTCATCTTTGATCTAGATCATATGCAGTTTTACTATTATATTTTTTTAATTCAATTAAAATATTTCATTAAAAAATTTAAAGCAAATGAACTCAGATAAGCTTTCACGAGTGGATTGGATCCAGAGGTCCCACTAAAATCTTGAAAATTTTGAATTCTTTTATTAGTAAAAGACCTCAAATTTAAATATTTATTCTGTTTTGCCTCGTTAATCCTTAAAAAATAAATAAAATTATTAAAAATAAATCTAAAATTTTTAATATTTTTGCTTTTTCCCTCATTAATGTAAAAGAAACATTTAAGTATAAATAGTTTATAATTATGAAATATATATGAATGCATTGACAAAATAAAAAGAGTAATTGAGTAAGTTAATGGTTCAAAATGTAAATATAAAATTGATCTCTTCACTTTACTTCTTAATTAAGTTAAAATGAGTTTAGACTGGTTACAAAACCTAGCATGCCACATTGTTTAATCTGACTTATTTGATAAATTTGTTAGTCGTGCAGTGTTATGTAACTTGTTTAATTAATATATAGTTGTGTATGTATTTAAATTTTAATTTGTTTATTTAATCGTAACCTATATAAGTGTCAATACTCTTGCTAAACACGACAAAATTAGGACAAACAAGCATGAATTTTAATGTCTTGTTTTTATATAAAAATGAATTTTTATATTTTTATTTTTATACAAATATTTTATTATTTTTATATTTATAGAAGTATTATTTGACATTATACATTTTAATAAAATTTATTTTGTTATAATAAATTTTTTAAAAAATTATGTAAACAAATATTACTTAATAATTTTGCTCCATTGAGTATAAATCATGGACCTAATTGGATCAAGTTTTGAATAAAGTATTTAAGACGTCGACGGAATCTAGTTTGGTTCAACCTATTTACAACTCTAATTAATCACAAGTACAATGTTTTCTGAAGTAATTGTTGTAAGAGAATGTTATTTGGATTTGATTATAAATTCTCGATTGATTCAAGTATTTTTGTTTTTGATTTTTTTTTATAAAAAAAATGTTATAGGTAATTGAAGGTAAGAGAAAATATTATAGATATTTAAAAATAATTAAATAAACCAATGAATTAAATTCTAAATTTTATTATTAAAAAAAAAAAACTGTAGGTTCTATTCGGTTGTTTTGTCATGATTATAAGAAAATATTAAATCAATGTTAATAGGTGCATAAAAACAAAAGGAAAAAAATACAAAGTACTAATAGTGAAGAGTCCAAACCCAAAAGAAAAAAAAATAATATGCTCTCACATGCATAGATATATGTAGTAAAAAAAAATCTAGTTTGTTAGAATCTTTCTGATAGCACGAGTGCGGATTAAAAGTGTAATCCATATCCTTAATGATTACACCGTTTAAATAATCCCACTTTACTTTTGATTAATTGTATACTTTTTATATACATCCTTGATCTCTCTCTCTCTCTCTCTCTCTCTCTCTCTCTCTCACTTAAATCAGGTGCTTAATACTTTCAGCCAATTTCTGGAGAACCATTTTTTTTGGGTTTCCATCAATCCTCAATCATCAATGAGGAGCCTAAGAATATCTATTTTGATTTTTCTTCGTATACAAAAGTAGCTAGGGATGTTCTTTACTATCTAGCTATCAGACATTAGTATTAGATTTTGCTTCCTTCACTTAAGCATGAAAGTTGAAACCCGTTTCAGAAAAAGAATTAACCAAAACCAAAAACTGATCAGTTAAGTTTATATATATATATATATATACACACACAAGAGCAACCGCTGATTAGGGATAGTGAAAAAAGTTATTAACTGATGGGATTTGAACTTCAAATCTGAGAGATATCAACTTTTAAGGATCACAGCATACACCGAATTAAGTTATGGGTTTGATCAGTCCCAGTGCACTGGTGGAGAAAACTGAAGTATAAGCAATCATGCAAGAATAAGCTATGAAGCTAAGAGGAATTTGAGTTTCCTTCTTCCAGGGGCAACCGAGAAGCTAAGATGCAAATCTTTGTGACTATTATAAGAAGATGAATGGAATATAACATGTCCTAACCATAAAAGCAAGTAAAGAAAAGCACAACTATAAGCTTGGGATCAAAGATAAAACTTAGAGATTCAGCACCGAATCAAGTTTTTAAAATATAACAAAATAAAATTTTCACCATAATTTCACAGAGAAACTTGTTATACCAAGGAGAAGGAGAAGCCAAGGAGCATAAGGAAGGGAAAGAAAAGATTATCCATATATTTGATATACACATGATAAAAGAAAATCTAAAACTAGTAGCTAAATTCCAAGTAGCAGCAGGATCTGTAGAGATTTTTATTCAGATTTCTCCATATATATATATATATATTTATTGTTTTAGTCGTGCCAGCAGAGAAGCATAACAATACATCTTCTTATTATGTAAAGCCTACCTCTTTCTTCCCTAAGGAACCCAGCTCCATTTCCCTTGCATGGCCATGAACACCTTCTCTTAGACCCTCCAATTGTTGCACCTTTCATCTTCATCTCTTCTTATCAAATTATAGGATTTATTTGCTTTTTTTTCACTTTTTTTTTTTGGTTAATTTTTTCTTCTAAATTCTTATTGGTTGGCTTGAAGAGCACTTCGGTGAACCTTTTTGCTCTCAGTAGTTCTCTCTACTGGCTGGATGGATGGATCATTATTGGAGTTTGAATGAGTAATGATTGACCTTTTTTTTTTGGCTTGCATGAAAAGAGCAGCAAAGGGTAGGGAGTGCTATTATAGGAAGGAAATGGAATGGTTTAGAAAATTAGGCTCCACCTGGGCCCAAATAAGGGAAAGCAAATGAGGTTAAAGAAAGGATGTTTTTTTTTACGTCTTCTTTTCACCGGTAACTGCACTTTGAACCCCACCTCACTGCCATGCAATACGATCTCAATCGTTGTATGTGGAATATGTTCAGAAACCATACAAAACTCCCTTACTTCCATCTCTGTGACATCTGTAACTGAAGCAAGCTAAGGCCATTTCTTGTTCCAATTTCTTATCCACTTACACTTGTTTCTTTTCTTTTCTTTTCTTTTCTTTTCCATTTCTTTTTCTTATTTTCTTTCAGTGTCTATGAAAAGCGGTAGTAATTTATATCTCTAGGTAGGGAAAGAAGGGAATTAAAAATGAAATTGGCTGGCAAAGCACAGCTGTCTTGATCAAAGGTTATTTGGCACGAGTGGACTATACTCTAAAGGTCGTGGAAGACCACAAAATAGAGAGAGTTTCTAATTTCTAGACTTACATTGTGTCCAAATCACGCAGCAGACGATAAAACTTTTTCGTTTCCCGGTCCTTGAACTTGGAGTAGCCTGTTCAAGTTCATTGATGGAAAAAATTTGGAAGTCATAAAAGCTTGATTCAAAAAATTAATAAATCAAGGAAGCTTATTCATACAAAATGAAAAAGAAAGATAAATAAAAGCTTATTCAATTCAATGCACGCACGTATATATAGGAAAAGGCATAGCTGTAGTGAATGGTACGAAGAGGGTAGCATACTACGAAGAGGGTCGCCAGTATAACTATAAAATAGAATTATTTTTAGTACTTAAATAAATTAATTTTATTTAGTTCTTGGTAAAATAAGCTTTTATACTCTTAATGTACTTAATTAGTTGTTTTATAGGAAATTTAAAAAAAAATAATGAATCTTGATGAATCTTGAAAATTTTTGACCAATCTTGAATGATTTTTGGTATATTTGAAATAATCTTAGATGGTTATTGGCAAAAGTCTTGTGGATTCTTGAAATTCTTAAAAATCTTGAAATTGGAGTGATGAATTTAAGGCTAGTGTTGCCGAAACTAAAGAGTGAAGAATTGATCAATTTTGATGAAAAATTCAAAAAATTCATGCAAGAATTGTGTAAGGGATGTTTGGCTATTATTAGCGACTAAAGAGTAATTTTAAGTTAAATGCAAGTCTATAATATTTACGTAAGTACGCATGCATAAAATTACTAATGAATGACATGGTAGCAAATCTATTTTCATTGAACAAGAAAGATGACTTTAAAACTTATGTGGCAAATTGATTTGGAAATTTTGTTAATATTTAAAAAAAGTCCAAATCACTTTTAGTAATCCTAATTTAAGAAGGTTTTCTTACTTTGACTTGAAATTCTACTTTAACTTGGATTTCCTACTTTGATTAGGAACACTTCGCAATCATACTTTGAGCTGTTTTTCCTACTTTGGCTAGGAAATCCTAGTTTAAATGGATATTCCTACCAATCATAGAATTTGCATGAAAATATAAAAGCACTATAAAATGAAGACAACACATGGGAGGACACAATTTAGAATTCTACCTTTTTTTTTTTTTTTTAATTTTTTCAAGAACTCTTCAACTAAAAGCATAAGTCCAATAGCTAAGAAACTAATTTGAGACCAATTGATTTAAATTTAAACCCAATTCAAAAAAGTTCAAGAAGTGCTAAAGTCTACTTCAACTTGGAGTTCTTGTTCTAGAAGACTTTCAAGGGTTTTAAAGTAATTACAAAAAATTCTTTTCTCTTGAAAAAAGCCTTAGCCACCATCTACCATCCTTCTGACTTTAGGATTCTTTGTATTCTTATTCTATAAATAGCTAGCTTAGAAATTAGAAAAAATTATGATTATGGTGACAAACTAATCTTTAGTTTAATAGCTTTTTTTTTTTCTCTTAAGTTTTTATTGTTCTAAAGCTTTTCTTTACTGCAATTTAAGATTGTTAAAGTTTTTTTTTTTTTTTTTCAGTTTTTAAGACAAATCAAGTTCTATTTTATAGTTTAACTTTTTGTTCTTGCTTTTTCAATGCAAATCAATTTAAGTTTATGTGATTTACTATTATTTTTCTTTAATTTGATGTTTGCATGTTTTAATTAATTAATTTTAGTTTGGTTTACATATGTTAATGCTTTGGCATTGATTTAATTTATAATTATCTAAGTTAGTTGAGATTAATTTGAGACGACTATATGTTCTTAAGTTTAATTAATTGAATTTGGTTAAGATTTAATTAAATTAATTTGTTAAATTACATGCTACTTAGGTTGTTTTTGGCATTGATTTAATTTATAATTATCTAAGTTAGTTGAGATTAATTTGAGACGACTATATGTTCTTAAGTTTAATTAATTGAATTTGGTTAAGATTTAATTAAATTAATTTGTTAAATTACATGCTACTTAGGTTGTTTAGATTAGTTTCTATTTTAATTCAATTCAAAGCATATAAAATTTATATTTAGGTTGCTGTTAGAGTATTTTTGCATGGTTGTATGTTTAGTTTACTTTTGCATCATTAGGTTTTTATTATCATTGTTGCTTGCATTCAACTTAAGTAATTTGTATACTTAGGGTTTAATTTCAGGTTCTTGCATAATTTAAGTTTTGGTTAGATTAATTTAAGCTTAATTCATAAGTTACTTGTTATTTGCATTAATTTCATCTTAATTTATTGTTTTTGCATCTTTAGAAGTTTAATTGCATTTTTTAAGTTTTGCTTTTTATTTGTTCACATAATAATTTATCTTTATTCTGAATTTTCTATATATAAGATAAAGTGAGACAATTTTATTATTTGATCACTCTATTTACAATGCTGGTAAAAACATATTCTACTTAGATTCCATGCATTTACAGATTCTCAGTCATACACCTGAAGTTCACTCGATAGACATGGCTGTTGTCTGTGACATGGACGACAAGCTAAGCTTATATTTATGACATGGTTTTGAACCACATTCACTCGATTGTTTAAACCATAACCACTATTTCTGTTGGTGTTGGCCTGGCCTGGGCTTCTTTCCCTCTATCTTTTTTTTCCTGATGGGGCTTCCTATCCTTCTCTATGCCATGAAATGACCCCAGCCAAGAAAATAAAAAAAATAAAAGAAAAAGTGAATATAACTCCATTTGAATAAACAAAATTAAATATCAAATCATCCAATTGATGAAGATTTTTTTTAGTAAGAACAGGAAGAGGGGGTAAGTCTCCCACAAACCTTGAACAAGAATTTCCAGCAAATGAGTCAAAGTCCTACGCTACAGTCGACGTTCAATAATTCTTGTTAGATAAAGTGGTGATGCTGAGAAGGAAATTAAAAGCTTCCCTCTTTATATTGAGCATGCTCAAGCTCAAGTCATCAAGTTTAAGCACATTTAACACATTGATCTTTACTCTGTTTCCCTGTCCCTACCCATTCACAGAAAGCCCTATGAGCTGTCTATTGAAGTCAAAGGCTTAAAAGCAGCTGAAATTTCATGGTGGAAATTAGTGACAAAGCCAAGATACAGTGGATGAAGACGTGCACAAATTTTCAGTAGGGATCGGAGCTGGTCCCCCTCCCCCCCTACAGACCAGAGAAGAAAGTTTTTGCAGCACTTCATCACCTGGTAGAGAGATCAGGGAACTCCAACTTTCACTAGCTACCCTCTCTAGCCTCCACCTACACGTGACAAAATAACCAAATGCCAACAGCTATCAGGAAGAGATTGCATCACTGCAAAAGTTTATCTTGATAGCTTCTGTTCTTCTATGGGTTTCAATCAGGAAATACAATTTTGAAAGTATTCTACTAGTCTCAAGCTTCATAAGAATTTACTGGGAAAATGTCCAAAAATCATGTGAGCTACTGCTATTCAAATTGCAAGATAAGATCAGTATGAGTCAAAACGGTCAATAATGGTTGTAAGTAGGCTCAGGACATCACATGATGCCAGGAAAGTTCAACTTCAATAAAGTAGGTATCCAAAGAGATCAGATCAAAATTATTGTAAGAATCTGAACAAAATATGCATGCATCTGTAATAGTTTATTTATTTTGGTGCCTAGAAGAAACATAGCATACGCAGTTACGCACCATACCTAATGATAAATTGAACCCCACTGAACCATTCTAACCGCCATGTTCATGATATGAACTTTAAATCTCACAATAGTGGTCACCAGTTCAACCCAAAATGCAGCTGCTACCAAGAATTGACCACCTTTTGACAGATTTCAATATCTGCTCCCATCAGTGAAAACTTTTCAAAAGATTACAAATTTTGGTTAGGCACAAGGAAATAATAACCCTAAAATGGAAAAGGAAAAGGAAGATTTCCACAGAAGTTGGAGAAATCAATGGAAATGAACTAATTAACTAATCTCAATTTTCTATCTAGAAGTTTTTGGATACCTACACATTCGAAGTTAAACCAATTATGAATAAGAAAATGAGATCAAATGCTTTCGATTACATTCTCACAACCTCATCTATATATTATAAATTATTGAATTTAGAAAATGGTTGGAGCAAATGATGCGTGACGTGCCCTGCAGACTGAAACAGTATGCCGGTACACCAGTATTATAAGTGTAAACAAACTTTGAATTTGAAACTGCTCAAATTCAATAAAAAAATATAGATTTTTCTGCTAATTAATTTGTTTTCCTACAAAAAGAACATGTAAAAGAAATTAAACTGCTGCTCAAGATTGTAACTCTACGCTCAACTCTCCCTCTTCATATCCTTAATTCATTATATCTATGATGGAAATGTACAAGACATCACATCCATTAATTTTGAGCATATAGTATCACATTTTAATCATAGATAGATTATACAGGAAATTAAACACAATGAAAGTAATAGTAGTAATGTAATATTCCAATTTATACAAACAACTAATCCAAAAAAAAAAAAAAAATACAGAGAACTTGTCATAAAAATTACCTTCAACCACCTCACTC